GGGTCTCTCTGCCTCCCCTTTTCCTTTCCTTGTTTCCTTTTCTCACAGCGCTTAGCACATCTGCAGTCAGACTGAGGACCTGCTGGCTCCTGCATGGTACATCCCACCCCCTACCTGGGCCAAGCCTTTGCTCTCTTGCTCACCACGGCATCCCCCTGGGCCCTAGAACGATGCTTGACCCACTAGAAGTTTTCTCAATACTTATGGGTTGAATGAATAAAAAGGGCAGGACATTACTATTTACTACCATGGGATGCGCATTGTGAGTCCCTTTTGCTACTTAATCCTCTCAACCCTGGGAGCCATCTGTCTGGTTTACAGAGACGGAAGTCTAGAACATAAGAAAAGCTGAGGCCAAAGAAAAAAGAACAATTGCCTGAGATCACAGCTAGTAAACTGTCAGACCTGAAACCACTGGAGCGAAGATTTAAAACTGCTTTAGTCTGAGGCCAAAGCCCACCCTTCCTTCCTACTGTCCCATGCTGCTGGGGACAGAGCTATAAATGTTCTATGTAGCGGGGTAAACGTGTAGAAAAGACACTGGTGGTGGTGGAAAAGAAATCAATTGTCATTTTTTTAAACAAAAGAGAGAAAGAGAGAGAGAAGGAAGGAAATAGTGTGAATGGGAGATTGAAAGTTGAGAATAAAGTGAGTTTTTTTAAAAGATCAGATTTGTGCATTTTTTTAACATTTCAACATGCTTCATATTCTATACATGTATTTTACCTCTTCCTTCATCTCACCTGCTTCACGTCTTCTCCATGTCACTGATACCCACACACAGTCACCTGGTCGTACACACTCAGTTCCTTCTGTCCTCGCTCACAGTCACAAGTCCCCACAAATCATTCACTCAATTATCTTCGTGCTTCCATCAGACACACAGATGTCAACAATCCCTACCTGCTCTGCCCCTGGACGTGCCCCGCTTCCCAAGGTCCTTGCTCTACAACTGTGCACTTATTTATCACAACTGTGCAACGACCTACATATCTCGGTCCTCTGCCCTGCACCGTCAGTCAAGGTGAGTCTGCTGATTCTCCCTCCAGATCCTCTCTCTCTCTCACACACACACACACTCTCCTCTTCTGCTGGCCACCTCTAAAGTCTTTCATCTCATCATTTCATGCCTAGACTATTACAACTATTCCCCCGACTGAGTCTTTGCATAGCTGTTGAGATAACTGTCAAAATCTCCCTCTCATTACTTAGAGATAAACGCATACCGGTCAAGACAACTCCCTTTTGTGCCTGGTTGATAAAGGAGCCTGAGGACACAAGAGTCCCAGCTAAGGCTTCACTCTGCTACTATCTACATCCGGACTCGCCTAACTCGACTTTAAATCAGAGTTTACGGTCCTTTTCCCACAGTCCACTAGAAGCGAGACGTCCGAACGGCCGCTCCAGCACTCTCCCCTTCTCTAAAAGGGAATGCAAACTAACTTCACAGAGTAAAGCACCCAGAATCCACGGCCACGATGAAGGCTCTCTAGGCCAGTAAGAAAGAGATGGCTGATGCAATGTTGGGCACTTAAGAAAGATCTTCAAACCAGACGTGCATAGCTTTGGCAATCCTTTTTAAACATATCAACCTAAATATGATGCATGATCTTTTTATCTTGGCTTGAGAGCGCTAGAGTCTGCTCTTCAACATTTTTTGGTGTTTCATTGTTAAAATGAAATCATTTTTTTGGTGTTTCATTGTTAAAAATACTGATACTTGACATGAAAATCTAGCATCTCTAGCTCTTGGTTTACAAAGAGCTCTCCTGACGGTATGACCTCTGTGGATCAACGCAGTCATCTGTGTCAGATTGGAGGTTTCGTTCCCATTTTGTATCTGAGGAAACCAAGGTCCAGAGACTCACCTTAACTTTTCAGGTTGGATGGTGCTGGGACAAAAACCTTGTCCAGCCTTCCTCTAGTCTTCCAAGCCTTCTGTGAAACCTGAATACATTTCATCTATTTCATTCGTAAAGCCTTTAGCCATGAACTGGTCCCACTTTTACTATCTGGCCTACCCCAATGAGGAAAAAACACATTTTTACTTACTTCAAATGCACTAACTTCAAGGTCTTCAAATTTTCCTGAAACTGCCATTCCTGCACAGTTGACAAGCATATCCACTGGGCCCAGTTTCTCCTGTGCCTGGAAAAATTTATCAGAGCAATTATCAGGAAAGAGAAAGAAGAATCACTTAGCAAATCAATGCCAATAAAGAAAACCCATAAAACTGTTATCCATTAAGAAATCCATAAAACCTATCGGGAAGCTTTGCCACCACCGAGCCACACACCAAAATGGCAAGAACCAATCGAGAGGCAAGTGAATCAATTCCAATTAACCCAACCTCTTACTTGTTTTATGACGTTCTCTACTTGGCTATAGTCTTGAGATACATCAACCGATATACAAAGCACCACCTGTTAGAAAGAGAAAAAAAACTATCTTTAAAAGAATTTTTTTTAACTAAAGGCAATTCTTTCCAATAGATAAGGAGTCCAAGTTTGGATGTACAGATTGCAGGGTTTGAAATCTACTGATAATGTAATTAGTAGAGCCAAATTTCGGGGGTGGTTTTTGCAGAAAAGTCTTTTGAGCAAACTCAAAAGAATGTTTTAAGAAGTGCTGGTCAAGGGGAACAGAATTTCAGGTAGCAGATGAGTAAGTTCTGGGGAGCCAGCGTCCAGCATGGCGACTACGGTTATGAAACTGTACAGTATACGTGAATATGCTGAGAGAGCAAACCTGCAAGTGTTTTCACCACACACACACACAAATGACAACTACATGAGGGGATGGATGCATCAATCAGCTTGATCATGGTCATCATGTCACAGTGTAAATGTACTTCAGCCATCCTGTGGTATACCTAAATACATAGCTTTTATTGGTCAATTATGCCTCAATAAAGCCAGATGCGGAAAAGAAATGTAAAAATGCTCCTCTTAAAATGCAGCAAGACTCCAGTGACAGAACACGTGCAGCCGGGAGGGGAGGGAGAAATGGAGCTCAGGGGAAGGTGGGCAAACTTGGGGGGGATGGAATATTCTGTACCTGGATTTCAGTGCTAAATACATCACTCAAAACCCATGAACCTGAACTCTTTAAATTGCTGTGGTTGGTTGTATGTAAATTCTTATCTCAATAAAGTTGTCCAAAAATAATAATAAACTTAATAAATGTATTTTTTAAAAATATTCCCCTTGGCGCAGTACCAGAGTGATGACTGCCCTCGTGGGATTCAATATTGGTAGGTGGAATAAAGAGATAAGCCAACAGCCCCTGCTCCCAGGAGCCACCTTAGTTCAGCCGGACTTGGCGGCTAAGCCAGGTGGCCTCACTTTACAAGGCCAAGGGTGGATCCCGGCCTGTGGTTGCTGCGGGGAAGTCAAGTCACATTTGGTTCACTCTGAGGTCTGCTTGAGACCCCCGACTCCAGACTGACCGGCCACTCACAGATTCCAGATGAGCCAAGCTGACCCTGAGCCCACCCAGTACAATGCTTAGGGTGCAGCAGAGAAGGAGGTGGCAAGAGCTCAGGCATTTGGTCTTCGAAAAGGGAGGGAGGGAAGAAGGAAGGGAGGAAGGGGGGAGAAAGCATGCATCAGTGCTTACTTGGATAGAAATTCACGAAATGAAACTTAAGAACACTCATAGGGACACACAGAGCTGTTCTTTTAATTTTCCTTTCAGGGTAATGGTTTCAAAGCAGAGCTTAGGTCTCTGACATAGGAATGTTCTATGTTCCGACGGAAGTCACTGAGAGGAGCAGAGATATCCTCAGTTTCTCCATCTTTCCATGAACTCCTCCCTGTTGAGACTGGCCGCCGCCAAGCTAAGGTGCAGACGGAGCGTGTGTGCACGGAAGGGCACACACACACCAACATGCACCCAGGTGTAGTTGTGGGTCCAAGGTGGTGTGACATGGTGGAAAGAACAGGCCCTGGCCTTGGGCAGCCTGGGTTCCAAACCTGTCCCTTCACAAACTCACCGAGCAGAACCCGAGAAGTTGGCAGTGACCTCGCTGGTACAACAATAACAGTGTCAGAAGCCAGTGATGACCAAGACCCCTTCCGGCTCTGAGAAGCCACACGACGTGAGGAATGAGGCCCAAGCGTTGCATAAAAAGAGACCCACTGCCTTGGGATTTGACACATCAGGCAGTAAGTTGTATTTAATGCGGGAAGGAATCCCACCCCAATGGTCTAAATTCCTAAGAAAAGCAAACAGCCCCCTTTGCAAGACGCAAACTGGAGTGTTCCAGACTAGAGCAGTTGTACTGGAATTATATCCCATCACACAGAAAACATTTTCAAAACGGAAGGACTCATACAATTCATTTACTTCTTTTTTTTACTTTCTGGGGGGAGAGAATGTAATTAGGTTTATTTATTTATTTATTTATTTAAAGAATTTTTAATGGAGATACTGGGGATTGAACCCAAGACCTTATGCATGCTAGTCATGTACTCTACCACTGAGCTATGTCCTCCCCATCCCCAGTACTCCTTTTATAAATCAATCAATCAATCAGTCTATCTATCTATCTAATTATCACCCTCCTCAAACAAAAATTTTTTTTAATAAATAAATAAAACCCACCAGAAAGGCAAAAATTAGAAAGTCTGCCAAGACCAAGTGTTGGCAAGGATGTGGGGCATCAGGACTCACTGGGCACTACTGGTGGGAGTACAACAACTTTGGTGATGCAAACACTCAACTCCATTTCTAGGTACATTCCATCCCTGCACATGTGCACAAAGAGATCAACTTTAGCAATAGAAAGAAGCAAACCAAAAAACAAAAAAACTGGAAACAACCTAAATATCCACCAATAGTAGAACTGTTAAATGAAAGGTGGTCTTTACATACAAGAGAACACTAGACAGCAGTTAAAAAAAATTGAATGAACTATTTATTCCTTTACGGAGAGGAATTTTTAAAAGCTATCGAGCTGCACGAGAATACACAAAGAATGATGTCATACAAATCTAGGGAGAGAAAGCAGGTCAGTGATCGCCTAGGGCTGCAAGGGACTGGATGGGAATGAGGAGTGACTGTTAATGAACATGGACATTCTTTTCAGGATGGTGGATGCATTCTAAAATTGATTCTGGTGATAACTGTGCAACTCTGTGGCTATACTAAAAACCACAGAACTGTACACCTTAAATCAGTGAATTATTTGGTATGTGAATTATATCTCAATAAAGCTGTCCAAAAAATAAGAATGATGCCATAAAGTTCAAAAAGCAGCAGAAGTAAACACTGCTGTATTTCTGGTCACAGGCGTCTATAGTCAAATTATTCAAAAGAACCAATGGAAGAAGTAACATAAAAATCAGGTTGGGGGTTGCCTCTAGGAATGAGACAGGAGGAGGAGGCTGACGTGGCCTCACAGAGGAGGCTTCAGGGGTCCTGGTAAATTCCATTTCTTAAGCTAGGTGATGATTATTAATTCACTATGTTTTATACTGAAATATATATTGTATTTATAGGGGTGGGGGGTACAGCTCAGTGGTAGAGCACTTGCTCGGTGTGCATGAGGTCAGGTTCAATCCCCAGTGCCACCGTTAAAGGGAGGAAGAAAACACATATATTGTATATATACAAACCACTTTATTCGTCAAAAATTCCATAATCAAAAAAATTTTAATTTTTAATACCCCATTTCCCCTCAAGTTAACTTAAATAAATAATTGAAATGAAATCACTTTCTAGTAAAGCATTCTGTTCTTTGATCACTTGTATGTGTATGTGTGTTAGACCCTATACATTGTTTTTTGTCATAACCTCAAATCCTAGGCAATTCAAACAATGTCACCTTTTAAAAAACAATCTAATATATATTTTAATTAGGAAAATCTTACATGCTTTCAATGAACTATTCACGGGTGAAGTTAACTCTTTTTTTCCTTTAAACATCGTGCTGATTAGTATAGAAAAATGCATCATAAAAAAAAAAGAAAGAAAATGCGTCATGAGGACAGTGATTTTACCTGCTTATCATTAACAGAGTGTTTTTCAATTTCCTTCTTTGCCTGCAACAGCTTGTCCTGAAAGCAATGAGAACAGTTAATTCTGGTGACTGTCTAGTTATCTGCTAAAAAGGAGAGAAAAAGCAATTATTTGTACAAGTATTTATTAAATGCCAGAAAACACACAGGACAGCACCTGGACTGCAGAGCTATGGGCCACATTCTATGGAAAAAAAGCAGCTATAAAATATGCTAAGGTATGACGAAGTGACAGCAAGTTTTTAAATTTATCGCAGAGAGAGATAATAGAAAATTTAATGAACCTTAAATTCCAATTATCGGTGTTAATTACTAAGGGTCACCCTATCAATTCTAATAAATGTTTTAATTTGACATTATTTAGATACGAAACAAGAAGGACCACATTGCTATGCAGTGCCTCTGCAAATTAAGGGTACATATGAGCCCATGTTAAGAGATCATCCAATGCTTTCCTCCTCAACTGAAAAAACAAATATAGTAAAAATCTCTTTTTAGATGGACTAGGTAAACTTATACCTGGCTACTTTCAAAGATATTCTGAGGATAAGCAAAGCTACCCAGGCCACTGAGTAATTCTTTCAAGATCTCAATTATGCTTGTTTCAGTCATTTTTAGGAAGACAGAGATCAGTTTACAGTGTCTTAATTTGCTATAAAAACTATAATTTAAATACATCATGACAGCAGAGAAGAACAAAAGCAGAGGGGAATCCTTCCAAAAGACACGTAGACTTTCTAAACAAGAATGTGTCTATAATAAAATTATATTATTCTATTAGTAAAGATGTACACAACCTGTACATCGTTACCAAAATCAGGATAAAAAAATTCCACTGGAAAATAATGCATTTCCTGATGCCAGAAGGTTCATTCATCTCCAGCGAGTGATGTGAGGGCCACAGAAAGAGCTTCTGAGCTCCTAAAACACTGGCCTCCCCCGCCACCTGCCTCCTTTTTCATCTGTCTCATGTCAAATATCAGCGTTGTTTGAATTCCACAAAATGGCATTTTATCACAGTTGTGTTTTCAGGCATGGAAAGTGGTTTCCATTCCAAATGTAATGGATTCATCATTAGAGAAGTCAGGGGATAAACCAAAGGTAGCTAATTCTGTCTTTCCTCATTGTTAAAAGAAATGATAGATGCCCAAGCCTAACTGTATCATTATTTAAGCATCTCCCCGAGCACTCAGTGGCCTGCCAGTCCCCTCCACCCTGCACTCTTCCCCCTGGGCAGCACTGCCACGCCCTCTGGTTCACAAGTGAGTCCAAAATCCCCAATCAACGATGCTGCACTGGCGTTCCCAGCCTCTCCATCATCCCTCCCTTCATTTCTTCATTCGACAAATATGTTTTGAGTGCCCACTCTGAGCCAAGCTTTGTGCCAAGGACAGAGTGACAGGTGTGGACAGGACAGCGGTGGTCCTTCCCCCACCCTATGGAGCAAGAGGACTCCCTGACTGTTCATGTGAATACAGTGTCACTGCTTTGGGTGCTGGAAACAACTCTGCAAGACTAACAGGCTCTGAAAAAAAAAAAGAAAGAAAAACAGACCTTGTGTCGACTTGACACAGAACAACACAGGTTTTGCTAAACAGCTGAGGAGAGTGAGATTCCCCTGCCAAGGATGGAGAGGCTCCACTTCACTAAAGATAAATATCATGTCATAAGCAAATTAGAGAGAAACAGTTACACGTCCTTCGGGAATCAGGAACCAGCCCCACGATCGCCACGTCAGCCTCTCTAGGTGGGTGGCGGGCCCTCCCTGGCTTCCTCTGACCAGGAATGCTACTTAACTAGGTCTCCACCTTTCCTGCCTTGAGATCTGCAGTGTCTATGATGTTGCCTAAAAGTTGCTGGCACTAAATAAATATTCGTGGAGCAACCTAACTTCAACCAACAAGTCTTTGCCCTAAATATGAGAAATAATCAGTGGTTCAGAGATCACACCTCCAAACAGAGAGGTGAGCAATTTCTGACACAGGTGTGAACACTTGACATTCATACGGCCTCTGTTAGTTACAACACACAGTAAGTTAGCAATAATGTACATAGAAGACTTACCTCATTTCGTGCCACCAGAGTTATAAACGCTCCTTGTTTATAGCACTCAATTGCAATGCACTTTCCAATGCCACTGGAGCCTCCAGTAACCTAAAAGCAAAAATTAGGAAATCTTCTTAGCACTTGAAATTTCCCTCCAGTTGGAAGTTTATTTAAAATAACTATAATGGGCTCTAAAAACCAACCAACCAACGAGAACTAATTGTTAGTTATTGTAGCTTCTTCATCCCAGACTTAATGAATGGAGGAAGCGCGAACATGACAGATCATCCTGTCAGCGGGGCGTGCTGCTGTGACTGTTTCCAGCACTGAATACCTATTTTTCTGAGTTCACTAGGGGGAAAGCGCCCTATACATCTAGCTAATAAACGACCTGCCTTTGAGTCCAAATCCCAATGAACCATTTCTTTACTACACGTCTCCTATTCGTGACCAGCTCTACAGGAGATGAAAAGAATGGTCACCTGCATATATCTAATGATATTTTAAATGACTACTTATTATAAAGTAATGCATGATCACATGGGAATACTGAAAAGTAAAACTTTTCTTCTTGCACTAGTCTAACCCTTACCATCTACAACTCAGCCACACTGGTTGTCCTTCGGTTCCATGTTCTCTTTCCAACCGCAGGACCTTTGCACATTCTCTTTTCCCTGCCAGGAATGCTCTCCTCCCCTTCTTCATCTAAATTGATACCTCTTTACCCATTAAACCTCAGCTCAAATATCACTTCCTCAGGAAATCCTTCACAGACTGCCCCACTCCTACCTTAACCTACTTTTCAGCACTGCATCCTTTTTTCCCCTTGTTTTACATCACTCACATAATCAAACAGCCATGCACTTACTTGTGCAATTACTGGATTCACAACCATCTCTCCCATCACCCCATAAACACCATAAAAATAGCAACTCTGGCTGGGGGAGGGCTTAGCTCAGTGGTAGAGCGCATGCTTAGCAAGCACGAAGTCCTGGATTCAATCCCTAGCACCTCTATTAAAATTAATTAATTAACAATAAACCTTAAAAAAAATACCAACCCTATTTTGGCTCCTCACTATATTCGCAGCACCTAGTACAGTGCCTGGCATATAGGAAAGTCTCAATATATATTTAACTTAGTAAGACAAATACAGCATTATCTTGCTAGTCATTTTCCCTATGCATATAGTATAATATGGGCCAGGGCAGTGGGGGGCCTGGAGTTATCGGGTGATGGGGGGAGGGAAGCGTCAGAGAGCATCTATCCTTACATGCTTTTCTATCCTGCTGTAAAACACATTATACCATAAGGTCTGAAGTCGGAAAACTAAAAGGCTTTACACTGCATTAAATAACTGTATCAAAACTTAATCCTTTCTCTATAGTGAGACATGAAGATTATTTCAAATAATTCACTGCTGTAAATCATGCTGTAATGAACATCTCTGATCCCATCCCGTATTTTAAAGCATCATGAAGTCCTCCTACACACTGAACTATCTACCTGGGACTCCCTTATTTTTCTCGAGCCTCGACTTCTCACCATTAAAGAGATTTCTTTGGTGGATAATTAACCAATTATCTACCAGTTACTGTAAAATTGTATCTGTTGCCCTAACAGTCACCTCTGAGGAGCTCTTTGCTACTGAAATACTTCATGGGTGGTTTGATTTATTAATTTTCACCAGACATTCCAATTCCATGGCAGTTACCAAGATCCTGAAAAATGGCCCTGGCTGCTTTCTGATGCTGTTCCTACTGCCGAAAGGTCTCTCCACCCAATGTGGATTTCCAAATCCTACCTAACGTGCCAAGGCCAGTTTCAGTGAATCCTCCTCCAGGAAGCTTTTCCAGGCTCCATCCCTCCGTCCTGTCCTTTACCTGTCTTTACGCTTTCTACCTTGTGCAGTTACCTCTGTACCTTCTGGCAGGCTCCCTTGCCAGACTGTAAATTCCTTGAGGACGATCACCAAGTCCAAGTCATCTCCCTCATTCCCAGCACAGCACTTTTCATAAACAGTTGTTAAATAAATACCTGCCTACATTAATTTGCAAGATGGTGTATGGTGCCATTTCCCTGAAAAAAATACAACGTCAAAAAAACTTGTGAGTGAAATTTCCCTATTTGTTATTCAGTGAACTAATGAAATTGAAGTGATGAATTTACTGAGGAAATGTATATGCTCTAAAAGTACTCTGTAGATATTAGCTACTGTGATAATTCCTCTTTTTTTCTAGACTGTAATAGGTGAGCGAGCTGTGTAAATTTACTGCACAGCCAAGAACAGGGTTTAACCCTGTAAGTTTTGTCCATAAAACCAAGACTAAGACTTCAACTTTGGAGTCAGGGTTCATGGAAACTAAACTTCTAGGTTAAGCCAGCTAATTCACAGAAGGTATCCAAGGATATACATAAGTCAATCTAGGCTATGTCATTCTTGGATGTTATAAGAAAATATAAGGGATTTTTCTATTGGCTGAGAAAATGGTAAATATGTATTGAGTTGTCTGATCACTGGTAAATTGAGAAGAGATGCGGGACTCTAAAGAGTCGAATTCCTTTCTTCATGTCTTCCTCTTACTATTCATTGCAAATATTATTTAAAATGTTACTATGTATTTAATCATAATGTACACCTGTCACTGAGGGCAGGAGAGAGGCGGTCCTCCAAGGACAGCTTCTCCCACCCATCTCCCAAAAGGGGAGAACTTGATTTTCCAGTTCTCACCAAGTCAATTCAACTGCTTTTAAAAAAAACCCAGCTGGCTTAAATTGGCATATACTAAGACTTGCTGTACCACGTTACCACTGTAATTAGAGAGAGAACACTAGCATAACAGAATTGTTCTCAAAACAAAACAATAACTAGTTATGGCCTAAGCCTGTTCATGCCTCCACAAAAGCAAGACATTCTAAACATTAGGTCCCTCTCCTAACACTACCCGGTCTAGTCCTAGCAAATCTCAAGAAAAAGAATTACACTTCCACTCTTTCTATGACACTAAAAAAAAAGACAGATGGTGACATCATATGAATTATTCATGTCATCCTCACATTACTGCTAGAGGCATATGAAAAGGGGGTGGTGAAAATAAGAAATTCTCCAGATCTATCCCAACAGATGCGTGTATTATCTACGGCCTGCAGAAGCATGATGGGGCTGGAGGAACAGGGTTAGCAAGAAATTCTCCAGGACCTATCCCAGCAAGATGTGTGTATTATCTTATCTATGGCCTGCAGAAGCATGATGGGACTGGAGGAACAGGGTCACCATGAAGTCCCGTTCAAACAAACACTGAATGCAAGTTTTCATTACTGCTTTGACTTCACCATTTTCCAAGTTATGCTCTGCAGACGTAACTTCTGAAAGAATCCAACTTCTAAAGCCATGCTTTTGAGGCAGAAGTTCTCTTGTAGATGTGACACTTTCAGAATTTAGCATGATTGTAAAACTTTGCTCCCCCTGCCCATGAATTTACACCTACCTCCTCATCTATCTTCCACATCAGGAATAGCAGCAGTTGGAAATATACTAATAGTTTTACACGAGAGAAACTACAGAAAATGCATGTTCCCATTCACAAACTCTCGCCCCGATGGAAAGCACCCAGAAAGCAAGGCCCATCCCCTGGTATAACAGCTCACTGGGGAGGCTGGGATCTCAGCGGAGACACCCAGATGTCACCTTCGGCACCAGGAGGATTTTTGCACCGCCAACTTAGTAACTAACTCTCCTTATTCAAAACCTCCCGCCTCAATGTGCCTCGAGGTTGTGGAAACCAAGCAAGAAAACGGACGAGAAAGCCACAGCAAATGGTGAAGTGCTGGGCGCCAGTAAGAAGGCATTCTCTCTGCTTAAGATGCCCCACCTGCAGAGAAGGGATCTTTGAAGACACGAGCTTCTAGAAAGAAACAAACCAAACCCATTCGCATGTCCTTTATGCCTAAAGCACTACCAGGTCGTTCGGCTCATCCCTCTGACTGGAACGATGGCAGAGGACTGCACTGAAACAGCACTCGGCGGACCCCAGACTGAACTTGGAAGAGACAAGCAGTGTAGACAGGACAGAAGCGTCCCAATGCCGCTAGCTAGGACTGCCAGCCCACCGGGTCTGGAGCAATCCCCCACGCCCCCACCCTCAAGTGAGTCACTTTCCGGATTCCTTTGGCAACTGTCACTCGCACAGACCACCTTCCAGTTCCGAGTTGCCCCGGTGGGTCCTGGAGGCTGGGACCCTCTTCCCCGCTGTTCGCCTCCTCGCGACCCGGCCAGGACCGCGCGCCTTGCCGGGAGCCGCCACCGACCGCGGTGTCCTTGGCAAAGTTTCTCAGCCTCTCTGTTCTTCAGTTGACTCATCGAGAAAACCGAGGACAAAAATATCCAGATCCCAGGGATGCCCCGGGCATTCAGGAGGGCCTCCTGAACCCCTGCAGCGCCGGGACCGGACTCGCGGGCGCTGACCCCGTCGCCCCGCTCTCCGGCCCCGGGAGGAGCCAGATGCAGCGGAGGGCGGGACCCCGAGGCCTTCCGAAGGGACAATGCCAGGGCAGACGGCGGCAGGTGACCCTCCATTTGGAGCAGGGGACATTGGAGGCTCGGCCTGG